TTAGCGGTGTTTGGCTCGGCCAGGAAGGTTGTCTTCTTTAGCGACCTTCCTTACCACTCTTCATGAATTTAAATTTTCTTTACTAGCACTCATTGTGGTGACGCCTCTTTTCACCAAAAAAGGGTCTTCTAGAACAGATTTTTCTCTCAAAGTTTTATAAGTTTCTTTGTCGGATTTTGATCAAAAGAGTAAAGATGAAGACCGCTTAAAATTTTCTTCAAGACTTCCACCTATTCTTTATTTAAAAACAATACATTTTTTCAAGGAAAATAAATACACTTTCCAGTGAGATTTTTTACGTGGTTTGCTCGTGGTTATTTGTATGGATTGCCACAAACTGTGCTAGTCTATTGACCTCAATTTCTGGCCAGTGATGCAGCCAATAGATCTCGTCTTTGCTCACATCCATACGTAAAGATTGTGTATTCTTGGACAAATCGTTAAAATCACATTACCTTCTCCATGGTAGAAGAGGTGATAGTGAGCAGTTCAACGATCAAATTAGTCAACTTATATATGCCATCAACAAATGATGTTAGTTATGAATATGTATGGGTGATTATAGAGACAAAACAAGAGTTAGCAACAATATTGTGAGTATGTAAAATTATATTACCTTTAAGTGTGAGGTTTTAAAATGGAAGAGGTGAAGATGTTAGCATTAGAAGAAAAAGACATGTGACTTGGTCATAACAGTCGAGCGTTTTCTTCTATGGTCACTTTTGTAGAACTATGGGAAAATACGCTACAAACCTTATATCATTAAACACTTGTAGGAAAATTTGATGGGACAAAACTTTAGAAAAGAAAAAAGAGTACAATACATATTTACTCATCTTACCATAATATACTTGAATTATTTGCTTCAGTCATGTTAATCTGTCAGTGATAGTGTTAATAGTCATGTCAAATAAATTTGCTATACTCACATTTATAGCCAACTTATAAGTATTTGTGAAATTCATGATGTTGTTGTTGTGCATTACATTTTTATAACTTTATTTTTCTCACTTCATCTAGTAAGTTTAATTTTCCTAGGAATGTATCCTTTTATTTGGCCAATCAATTTTTCAATCGATATGCTTCAAAAAACTTATTTCAATAAACAAAATTGTTGTCAATAACTTTTTCTTTTCGATTATATTTCTTTATCAAACATAACTTATTGAGATATTTTCACTTTTGAATCTCTTTTAGAGTTTTATAATTAGTTATGTCTATATGTATTTACCTCCTAAATGAGACTTTCTTTCTTATTTGCTCCAATTTTTCAATGATTTTTATCTTTAGAATTGAACGTCACAATGTTTTACGGATGTTATTATATAATTCAAAGTTTGTCATTATAAGACATCAATACAAGATGAAGCATTCACAGTCGGTATATGAGATTTTATTAATCTCTTATACGCCAGTAAGTGCATTTTGCATGTGTTATCTTTTCAGATTATCACGTACAAAGATATATTTAATACAATATGATACATTATGTATTATTTCTAGCTACTAATATTTCTTTTCCTAATGTTGAGAAAATAATTAAATCATATTGACAGTCAGCAAACTGTATTATAAAATATCACCTGTTAATGCTTAAGATATTTTAATAAGGGTTCACAATAAACATGTATTTTGAACATTCTTTGATATCCATTTTAGTGCATTGCTATGGAGCAACTATATATATATATATATATATATATTGCACTATAAAAAATATAAGATGAGAAATATTAGGTTTTGACCATAAGTTAATTATAATGGTGAGAACTTTGATGTTGACATAATGCATATAAAATTGCTTTGTTTTACATAGAAATGGGAAGTTTTTTCTTCTCAATGTTAATGGTTAATAAATTAATTAGAGACACTAAACAATCAATTGTGTTAAAACGCTTATTTGTCATCATAGTTAACATTTATCAAATGTTTGTGATGTGAAGTCACTAATAACATATTGTCTTGATGGTACAATCTAAAATTTGTGCTCATAATTCAAGATTTTGAGCTAGTAATATTGTCAGGCATGACCATTCAGACCATCACCGAATCAATAATACTACAAAATCGAGAATTTTAATGGATATTCAACGAAGAATCCTATATGATGTTTGTTCTCTCAATTGAAAATTGGTAATTGACTATAACTAGCTAAAATGAGGATTGTATCCTCTATATTTTTGAAAATTAATTAGGTTGACACACGAAGCCCCGAAATTTTCATGTTGAGTATCTAGATATTGTTTGTATATAATAATAAGTATATACATCGACTAGATGCTTGTATGTGTTCGCAACCTGAAGTTTGCCAAATTATTGGTCAAATTTTAAATCATGAGCATAATTTTTTAGATTATACAATCAAGACTGTGTATCTTGTTAATGTTAATAAGCCTAAATTTCAATATTTTTAATAAGTATTAGATATGATGACGATAAATGATTCAACACTAAAGCTTGTTAAACTCATTCAATTAATTTAGAAATAAGTACTATTGATTCACCACAATGTAGTGTGATTGAAAGTAAAGAATGTAGAGAATATATGAGTAGCTTTAATCCTTACACAATATCTCAAGACTCAACGGGTGATATTTTATGGTGTAGTTTGCTGATTGTCAATTTGATTAGACAATTTTCTCAGCACTAAAGAGATGAATTTAGAAGTAAAAAATAATATATAAATACACTATTATATTATCAAGATCCTCATGTAAGAAAATTTGAATTAGAAGTTCGAATGATAATTTATTTAAATAGATTTATTGATCAAAGAGATCAACAACATCCCACACACCAGATTTAAATACTCCAACTCGAATTAACATCCTAGGAGGACAATTACTTAATATTATGCCCCAGTTGTTTATCATTTTTGGAAGAATGAGAATGAAAAATATAATCGTTACGAGCCCCACACAAGAGATATAAATTCAAATTTGGTGGCTTAATGTGATGGATAACGGTCATATTTTTCATTTTAATGGAAAAATAATGGGAACCAAACAAGGGTATATTTGGTAAAAATCTTCAAAAGAAAATGAAGCAAGTAGCAAGGATAGTTCAATAAAGGATGCATATACTCTTGAGTATATAGGGACATAACAAAATGTGAAACTCAAGAAGAGGTTTAGGTACCTAAAATATCGAAAATTGAGATATTTTAATAAGTTATGTTATTATGGAGAAAGAAAGCGAATATAAAAGAAAAAGTTATTGACAATGTTTCATATATAATGTGGCACTTTGTTATGAATGATAGCAAGGATATTTAAAAAAAAAAAAAATTTCAAAAAATATCAACGTATAAATAGTTGGTCAAATAAACTGATGCAATTCTTTAAAAAAAACAAAAAAAAAAGAAAAAGAAAAAGAAAAAGAAAAAGAAAAAAATTGAACTTACTAGAGAAATTTCAAATTTCTTTGAACCTATATTGTGAACACCTAAAATCAAGTTGTAATATATAATATATTACTTTTAAGATAAATTTTGCAAAAACTTGTATAAATAAACAAATTTATCCCATTGAACTTACTAGGATGAGTAAATGCACGTTGTACTCTTTCTTTCCTTGATCAAGGTTTTTATCCCATTGAATTTTCTTGGTAAAGTTTTTAATGAGACAACTTTGGTGACGTATTCAAAGTAATAATATATTCTGTTTCTTCATTAAAAATTTTCCAATAAGTGTTTTCTTAATAAGGTTTTAAGGAGACATAACTCTTGTTTAGGCTCCATTCTTTTCATAAGAATTAATTTTTGAATAGTGTATTGATGGAAAATGTGTGGTTAAAAAATAAGGAAAAATTTTAGATTTACTTGTAATATTATTTTATTGAAAAATGTGTTGTCGAAATGATGTCAAAATATTATTTAAGAATGTGTGTGTGTGTGTGTGTGTATTTTCAAAGAATGGAGCTCAAACAGGGACATATTCGTTATAAAAATGAATGTACATAATCTATAGGACATTTGCCCTCAATGTAACTTATGATCATATTATAATTTTATGTACGAGATTCCTAAAGAGAACAAGATCTTTTTCTTGAACCATCATGTTATCACAATCATCAATGATGGATAAATATTTTGTATGAAGACAATATTGCTTGGGCTATTACAAGAAACATGGAACATACTTTTACCCTATTTGACCCACATTTAAAAAAAGGAAACAATTCTTAAACAATGATTTAATATAATTTCAACCACACATTCTTCAATAAAGTAATAGTACATGCAAATTCAAAACTTTTCATTATTTTTTAACCATACATTTATATTAATACATTATTCAAAAATGCATTCTTATGAAAATAATGTGGTTCAAAGAAGGGTTTTATTAGAATTATGATATTGAAGATATTGACGTACAAGAAAATGATGATGCGATACAAGAATTTTCATTTATTGAAATAAGGGGAGTAGCCATATTCTTTTCATTTGATCAAGTTTTGTCCTACTAAATTTTTTCCGACAAGGCTTTAATGAGGCATCAATTTACTACAAATTATTTGTTCTCTTGTTTTTTTTTTTTTTTTTTTTTTTTTTTTTGTTTTTTTTCAATCAAGGTTTTTTCATTTGTTGGTATTTTTGTTCCATCGAGGTTTTGTTAAACAAGATTTCAATGAGATAATTATTGTGTTAGTCATTCAAGAAGAGTGTTGTAAATAAATTAGTATTTGTGAATGACCATTATACTCTTACAATTCTAATGATTGTGACTATTATATTTCTTGAAGTCCTAATCCTTTCGTATAAATGCAGGACTTTGATTCTCAATTAAATAAACAAAAACAAAAAGTCTATGAACTTCTCTATTTTGTTTTCATTCTCTTTAGTCACATAACAATTGAAGGATTTGAGACAAATTGCATTCCATTATTTGCCCGCCTTACGCATAATGTAAACCGTTAGTTCTTCCTCTAACCAATATAACTGTCGTCTCTCACCCAAAACCCATCAGGATTGATTCATTCAACAGAGGAGAGAAGGAGAAGCATTTTTATGCTCTCTCTCTCTCTCTCTGTGTGTGTGTGTGTGTAGAATTGCGACACTAACCCTAACTCTTCACCAAAGAATCTCGGAAACTCAAAGCACTCGTTCCCCATACCACGAGAAAAACTAACACAAAATCATCTGTACATAGATGTAAATCCATGTGGGTATTTTGAAAGGCCGAATTTGTATTAGGGTTTCGATTTCTGTAATTAAGTATGCATATTGTGGAAAAGGATGATGATTTTTATGCCCCGACGGTTCCTAATGGATCGATGTCGAGTGCATTCCATTATTCTCCTTTGTTCTGTGTTGAAAACTTCTCCAGGAGGAGTTTTTCTTACAACAAGCTTCCTGAGGAGCCACTCAGGCTCACCGTCCTCAAATTGGATGGATCGTCTTTCGGTAAATTCCTCTTCGTCTTTTTTCCTCTTTCGGTTAATGCGGATGATCTGAAATACGTGTCTGTAGTATTGCATGTAAATTGCATGACGAATTAAACATTTTGGATTTTATTTTTTGTTTTCGGTTTTATAGAGATTCAGGTGGCAAAAAATGGGAGGGTGAGGGAGCTGAAGCTGGCGGTGGAGGCGGCATTTGGTCATTTGCCAACGACGGGGACTGGTAGAGTTTCATGGTAATGCACTTTGAAATTGTGAGATTTTATCCATTTGCTTGTGTATGGGAGGACATAGGATGGATTGAATCGGCAAAAGCTTTGGAATTTTTATTTGGGTAACCGTATTGATATAAAAATGTGAAATTGCAACATTTGGCATGGCTAATAAAATTGAATATTCTTGTGGTGCACTGCACCCCTGATTATATGAAGTTGAAAAGAAAAGGAAAATTGGTCAGGATTTGTGTTTCTGAGACCATTAGGAAAAATTGAGGCAGTCTTATGCATGATATAACAATGTACACGGATAAGGTGTTATGAATTATTATTCTAATAGCAAACTATTTCCAATGCTTATTAATTTGTTCTATCATCCTTGTTTTTTCCCGATATAGCACCCAAATCACGGTGGTAATTTCAATTTGACCGTCTCAATTTGTGATGGCAGCTCCGTTTTCTTGGTAGATGCTTGGATCACCTTTTGAACTGCAGTAGATCATTTCTATTTTCTATGGGCATTAAAAGCACCCCATTTCATATTTGCGTCTGAACTTTTCCATTTCTAAATAGTGGCAGTTGGTTAGATTTAGTTTAGATGTTCATAAGTTCAGAACTGAAATTTTTGTGCTGTGATATTAATGTTCATTTGTCTCTGAGAAAAAATTGGCAGATTCAGGTCTTAAGTGTGGTTCTTTATAATGCCATAATGGAAGTTGAATTTGTTTATGCAGGCCACATGTATGGGGTCAGTTTTGTCTTTCCTACAATGGCCACAAGCTACTTAATGACAACTGTTATTTAGAAACCTACAAGATCAAAGATGGTGATCAGGTTTGTAGTTGTTCTAGAGTATACGTGTTTGCAGATAACTATGTGCACAATGTAGCATCTTATTTACTAGAAATTTACACTAAAGGGAAACAAGATAAGACACCAGAAAACAATATCCCATATATCCTACATAGTGTTAAGGAGGTTCAGATACTCGTAAAATTGTGTAGACACATGGATCATAATTATCTAAATCACAGATCATATTTACAACCTATAATCTGGTTCATCTTTTGCTATGACTTGTAGTTGATGTCATTTTATTTATGCCTTGTTGGACTCCTATTTTGTGAAACTCATATTCCCGAACTTGTTTCAACAACATAATCTCCAAATAAAATAGTTTTGCATGTGGACCCATAATTTTCCCTAGCACTGTCTTATCCCTTCATGGGGGAAATCTAAATGCCAAGATCAGGAGATTAATCAAACAGCAGTTGCATCTGCT